GAAAGCGCTACTTGTCTTCGACTGGTTCCTGTGGGACAGGCGGCTGAAGGCTCCCGAGGCCAGAGACCGCAGGGCTCCGAGCAAGAGGAAGAAGGGTGTTGTCTGGGGCTTGGGCTCAGTTTGGGGTGAGCTGTGACCAGGGATGGACCTCAGACCCGCAGGGGACAAGTGGGTGGGGGCACCTTCGGTGCTGAGGCCCCAGCTCTTTCCCCATTTACCCTCCACCGCAAAGATCTTCTCCTGCAGCTGCTTCTGGATGCTGCCCAGCGCCGCAAAAGTTGTTCACCCTTGAACACGTGGTCCCGCGCGGGCGCGGAGCCGATGGTGTCCAGCTCCTGCCTGGCGGCCCGTTCCTCGAAAGCGCCTCCCACCTGCACAGAGAGGCGGCTGAGGAGGAGCGCCCGCCTGCTGCCGCGGGCGGGGGGCGGGGGGCAGGTGCAGGCCGAGCCTGGGGGTCCGCAGGCGGAGCACGCACCCCGATGGCATAGCGGACGATGCCGGCTCTCTCGGCCTGGGGGATGACGTCGCTGTACTCGAGGGGGTCTCTGTACTTCTGTCCGTCCGTGATAACAATGAGGATCTTCTTGGCACTTTTGCGGGCCCCGTTCCTACTGTGAAATAGGTCCTTCCTGCCAGGGAGGAGAGGGAGATGGCTGCTGAGGGGGGCCGGCTCCGGGAGGAAATCCTCTGTGGTACCGGTAGCTCATCGGGAGGGCCGGGGAGTCCTGGCGCCCTAGGCTGTCAGGCGTGTGAAGAAACCCATTCAGCCCTTTTTGAAAACCATGCTGACAACGATCAGTAAGGCCAATAGCGAAGATTCTCAGGTCCCTGCTCCTAGAATTCCACCCGCGGTGGCGTCTCATGCCCAGGAGGCAGCGTGGTTGTGGGCGGGAGTTCTACGGGCGAGTTACCTCGGCTCTCTGAGCCTCCGCTTCTCTCCAGCAAGGTGAGAATGAGGACTGTGCCATAGCTGGTCTCCCAAGACGGCCCCAGGGAGCCCCACCCGATCCCCTTCCCATCTGAACCCGGCCTGGGACATGCTCTACTCGCCCGCATGCAGTGGAGGAGACACCAGGCCAGTTATGGGCCCAAAAAGCCTTGGTAGCTTTTGCCCCTTGGGGAGCCCTTGAACCCCATGAGAGAGGTCTAGCTCCCTGTTGGAGTGGCCACAAGGAGAGAGGCCCAGCCACCCTGGCCGAGCCCCGCCTTGCAGCCACGTGAGTGCCGGGCTCGTGTTCCAGCCTCAGGCGCCCCCTGACCAGCCCCACGAGGGACGGAGAGCCCTGTGTGACATGGCTGAGCCCCGGATCATGAAAATAATAATAAAAGAGCTGTAGTTTAAGCCACCAAAGTTGGGAGTCGTTCGGCAACAATAGATAATGGAGACAAATGGTATCCGGTAATTCTGAGCGGCCTCTAGGGAAGCGCTAACTCTATGGAGCTGCCACAAACCATTAACACTGTGGCCGTGTGCTCACATCCGTGCACATGTAACTCTGGAAACAGCCTTAGTCCAACACTAGGGAAGGTGTGTAGCACATGACCAGACCCCTGGAGAAGCACACCGACATTTCAGAGGAAAGCAGTAAAGGCTGTGGAGGCAGGTGGACGCGATCCGCACAGCAGACGGAAACAGTTTCCACCCGGTCGTGACCATGTGGAAGGTGTCGCACACAGACGAGGATGGGAGTCACACTGCTCTGCAGGTGGGATTCTGTTATCCGCTTGTACTTGTTTCCTCTTGTTGCAAAAAGCTGTGAGGGACCCCAGCCAGGTGGTTCAGTTGGTTGGAGCATCGTCCATACAGCAAAAAGGTTGTGGGTTCGATTCCCAGTCAGGACACATACCCAGGTTGCAGGGGTTTGATTCTGGTTGGGGTGCGAGTGGGAGGCAACCAATCAATGTCTCTCTCTCTCTCTCAAATCAATAAACCTATCCTCGGGTGAGGATTAAAAAAATAAAATTACAGTGGAGGCGTTTGGCTAGAGGGACAGTGGGTCCCCAATATTCCTTAAAGTACTGCCCTTTTGTC